ATACTGGCAGTGCTGGTGGGGTAGGGAACTGTGGATCAGGAATGAGGGGGCACAGGGGATGGGAGGGGTAACTGTGGGTTGAGTGCGCAGAGCACTGGCAGTGCCAGGGGTCTGCAGGTTGGGGGTGAGGGACACCAGCAGGGCTGGGGGGCAGGGGTCTGTGGGTGAGGAGTGAGGGGCACCAGCATGGCTGGGGGGCCAGAGGCTGCAAGTCAGAAGTGAGGGGCACTGGCAGGGCTGGGTGGCAGAGGAGGGGGCTCCAGGTCAGTAATGAGGGGCAGTGGCAGGTCTGGGGGGGCAGGGGCTGCAAATTGGGAGTGCGGGGCACCCACACAGCTAGCGTGGCAGGGGCTGCAAGTTGGGAGTGAGGGGCACCACCAGGGCTGGGAGGGGGGCAGGGGGCTGTGGATCAGGATTGAGGGGTATGAGAGATAGGATGGGTGAGTGTGGGTTGGGTGTGCAGGACATTGGCAGTGCCAGAAGGCTGCAGGTTGGGAGTGAGGGGAACCAGCAAGGGGTGGGGGGCAGAGTACTGCTGTTTGGGAGTGAGGGGCACTGGCAGGGCTGGGGTCAGTGGATCCAGAGTGAGGGTCAGCAGCAGGGTAGGGAAGGGTGTGGCTTGTCAGTGAGGGGCAACAGAATGGGCAGGCGCAGGGCACTAGCATGCCACTGCCCCTCTCACCATCATATTCCCCCTGACCACCCCACCTCCTGGTGACAGGCGTCCTCTTTTTTGGACCTGGAAATATGGTAACCCTAGGGGAAGGTGGCTGGAGTGTGTGAGAGGGTGTGGGTGTGGGGGTCTGCATGTATGGCAATGAGAGGGGGATGTGGGTGCATGTGTATGGTGAGGTATGCGTGTGGGACTTGTCCTATGAACACACATACACCCCCTGTCCCTCCCGCACTGCACGCGCGCGTGCACGCGCGCACGCGCACACACACACACACACACACACACACACACACACACCCTCCCACTCCTGACCCTGAAGTACCGGCACGGGCCCCTGTCTCGGATGGCCAGAGCCGACTCGAGTTGCGTTAGAAATTGGTCGTACGTTAGGGCGGGCTGGTGAATGGAGAGGCAGACCCAACTTATTGGTTGCAAAAAACTTTACTCACACCACTTGTAATCACGACGCAGGTGGTCCGGTCGTCTGAACAACCACACGAGTTGTTCCAGCTGGCGGGGCCCAAGCCAGTTAATCCGTCCGCAATTCGAAGCCGGCGGGGAAAGGGGTACGTCTGGGGTTGCGCTCGGTGATGGGAAGAAAGATCGATAGGTGATCAGTCTATCTATCGGCAGCCACAAGTCAGATAACTTCAGAGGCACTCTGCAGTGTGCTCAAAGCTCTTTGACTTGGGCGGAAGTCGCGCGGAATTGTAAACGGCCAGCGAGCCAATTACTAGCCGCCACGTGTGAATAATTTAGCACTGGCCAATAGCGGGGCACAAATTT